ATCGACTGATGTAGGATGAAGTGAGCATTTTTGCAGGAGGTTAACTTGAAAAGCACAGAGATTATCACCCTTAAAAGTTCAAATCTAAATACCCAAATTTGAGAGCAAAATGAGAGTTAATTTAGGGTCTCTAATTGAAGCAGTGCCAGAAAATTTATGGACGGGTTTTCCATGAGCTCTTAACTAGGTATATCTTCAATCTCGTGCATGCTTAATTCACCACCAGAAATATAGTGCCCCATCCACGAGTAGTGTGTAGTCGAAACCTAAGCCTAACCAAGGCGATTTAGTGGGATTGGATTCTTTCGTTAACTGATTTCATTTTAATTATTTGTAAGATTTTCGGATGAGAGCAATTGTGGCTTTATGCAGTCTCTCTACTTTTCCACATCGCGCCTGCAGCTCAGTGGCCACCTTATATCGAAAGAATGTCTTCTGCATGCGCAAAGAAGTAGTGAGACTAACCTTCGAGAGGAATGCATTTTGCCGATGCAATTATCAGTGATCGGCAGGACTTCTTACTGATTGTATGCAGTGGGATGCATGCAATACGAGTTCCCTCCCTTGGATTGTTTGGTATTTGGAGTCTTCTTTGCACTCTAATGAAGTTATGAGGAGATTCGCTGTCACAGTGCTATTGCACTAAGCATTACCTTCCTCCAGCATCCAATGCCTTGGTGCTACGGATATTTGGGATGGAATACCGTCGGTACTCAAATGATGCCCAGTAGTATTTTTATGGTGTTATCGGTATACAAGATAGCATTATTAAAGTTGGGTTAGGGCTAGGGTTTATTGGTGACATCACCGAAGAAGCGGTAGACATTCATTTAATTTTGCGGATAAAGTAATGCAGTAGGGCAGATTAGCCAGGCGTAAGTTAATACAATCTAGATGTATGCGTGCCCGTGGCGTAAAGCAAAGCGAAATCGGACACAAAAATATTTTTGGAAAAGGCTGACAACCTCTTGGGAGAGAACTCGCTCGAATTGAGGTGTTACTTTAAGAGTGGAGGATTGCTCAGACTGCGGATTATAGTAAAAGCATCATGAACACTGATGTTGCTGTTGAAAGCAATTCAGGATCGGACTCTGCTAGGGAGGAAATAACATTACATAGTCGTTCATAAATGTTCTTTCTATGTCTACAGCAAAAAATCTTCGTAATTAGGGTTTGTCTTCAGCCAACATTATCAGAACATTTTTGCAGTGTTTTCCAAAGCCGTGCTCATGCACTTGCATCGTCTTCCTTCCCTGATGTATGATTGGGAGATGCGATAACGTTGCTTGCACTTCAAATTACCGCTGCCGCTGTTGAATAGATAGATCATATTTACGCAGCCTGTAATCTTAACATGTGTTTCACTGCTAACTCATCCAAGTTGGTCGATCAGTTGACGGATAAATAAATAAGAACACCTACTGTTAATTTGCTGCGTATTGGTTACCTTAATAAGCAATCGACGATCAAAGAGACCCAGACTTAAGGGCAAAAAACTTTATGCTTAAATGCAGGGAGGGCTGAATGAATAGAGAGATGTCAATTAAATAAGCAGAATTCTTTTTAAAATGGTCAATCTGAATATTGGCAAGTTTACAGTCACCTCCCACCCCTGTCCTCCTTCCCCTATTAAATAATCTTAGCCGATTTCCTAGCTTGCCAATCTTTAAATAAAAGGGGTAAATACAAACGATGAATAGGCGATTGTGATGGTTTGCATGTTAAAAATGTTTAGGGAGATACATGTATAAGTCCTCTGCTAATGGACGCAGGTTTCATAGTTTCCTCAGGTCTCGTACACCATCTCGGTGCTATAACTTTCGTCTTATAACACTTCCGCTAACAGCCCACCAACTCTTCTGTACTTCTATACCAACGCATCCTCTAGATGCATGCGTCTTGGAAGACTTGAGCATTACAATGTAGAGTTTTTCATTTGTTTATCCTCCTCAGCAAGCCAGAGAATAATAACAATACTAAGATATTATTAAATGTTCATTCAACTAACACCTAAAACACTCTATAATGACGATTAAAAATTTATTCTGGCTAAAGTTTTGCAATGAGGAGTAGAAATCTATTGCAGAATTACTGAGACGCTTAACCTGAAAGTCACTCATAGGCTATTGGACCCACAACCCAAGTGATTAATTTGGCAATAACTGACGCCTTCACTGAATAAAAATGCTGTGTCTACCTCACAGAGAGGTGACTTTTTCCTTGACAAATGGAAGAAGGGGACGCAAATTCTCCCAAGACGACCTTTGGAGGTATCGCGCCATTCTGCATATGATTACCGCGCGATGAGCGAGTAACCTTGAGTGGCATGATTTAGCAAGAGAAATGTTTAGCAGTTAAAAAGAGGTGAGGAAAGTAAAGTGCATACCAAAGAATGATTAATTCAAAAGATCTAAGAGACTATCTGTTTAATAATTTGCAAGTAAAATAGAAAGAATGTTTAAAATTTGCAGAATTAATTAGATTATTTACAGATTAATAGGTAGGAATTATGAATTCCTTTTGGGTGGTAAATAAAATTATCAAGTTTGTCATCGAGTTAGCCTAAAGTGTATTCATGCAATGGCAATATATATATGAATAAATCCTCTTTTATCCCTGAATTCAGCAGACAGAGCACAATGTAGGGATAGGGACAACTTTTGCTCAATAAAATTGTCTTAATGCTAAGACCTTTGATGAACTTCTGTCCTGATTGGATGTACTTTAAAATGTGTAGGCAAAGGCTGCTTCTTCCATCCTCTATCCTCTGACGTCTGACCAGCTGATAACCCCTGAATGAGTTAACTGACCACCTTTTCTAAGAGGCAATAAGTTCCCACCAATGGAGAAATGTAAAATCCGATAAAGTTAATTTTAGAGAAAAATATTTGTATAGAGACCCCAAGAATTATAACCTATTCACTTGTTTATGCAACAAAAAAAATGAGTGCTAGTTAAGGATTCTGTGGACTTTTGAGTAAATATAGAGCAGGACCGCAGGATTAGTAACGTAAGGTAAGAGAGGTCCGCAACATTGGCATGTTATTCAAATGACAAGAAACTGGGTAGATCCTCTACGAAATCATATAGCCAATACCTTGTGCAAAAGGTTGGTACACGATGGTGCTGCCCGTAATCATTTATCCCCATAAGACTGAGCTAGGATGGAATTGGTGAAATAGAGGCAAAATCGTTAGCTACATTCACTCATTAATTTAAGGATAGAACGATTGCAACTGAGATCAGGCTACTCGGCACAACATCATTCTGCACGAAAAGATGGAACGCAACACAACTAAAACCTGTGAAGGGCATAATGGGAATGGAGAAGAACTAGTCAATACAACCTCTGGGATAAAGGAGGGTCCAGTTCTTACAAAGTAGGGCGCAATGCATCACCACCTCATGCAGCTGCACAAATAACCTCTCCATGAGAGCTTCGCCATACATATAATGTGAGTGAGGGTGGAATTTGGGGCAAGGACTGGCAGCACTGGCTTGTCCTCATCGTTATCCCCATCTTGTCTCATATTGACTTAATGACAGAGAGAGGTATGAAAATCAGACTGGGAAATTAAAAACTAC